ATGTCAGTTTAAGGACTAAGGTGTGCCTGATTCAGGCCATGGTTTTTTCAATCATTTCCTATGCATCTGAGAGCCGGACAATGAATAAGGATGACAGAATTGATGCCTTTGTGTAGTTGTGTTCGAAACGATTACCTCATATCCCATGGATTACCAAAATAACAAAAATATATTTTGGAGAAAGTGCAGTTGGAATACTTCTTGTAGTCAAAACTGACAAAGCTTCATCTCACATAAATTAAGCATGTTGTTAGGAGTGGGTATTCCTTGGAGAGGGACTGACCCAGTGACTGCTGCAATGAGCACGTCAGAAATGATGAGGATGGCACAAGATAAGACAGCATTTAGATCTATTGTTTATAGGGTGACTATGAGTCATACTTGACTCAATGACAACGTACCAACAACACAGTCTTTTCACAACACAAAGTATCTGTAAAAGATACAAGTTACATGATGATCTTATAGAGTAAGTAGTCTTGCCTGCCCATTAATAAGAAGGTAAAGAACTCCTGTCTGGATGATGTTGTGGTGTGCATTTCAGATGATTCCATTTAACAGTGTTCCCATGTGGCAGAGTAACTCTGCTTTATAATTTTTATCTGGTAGTTCATATCCCCCTGTGACACTGAGAGAGAAAGATGGGCAATCTCCTCTCATGTGATTTACAACCTCCAAAAATGAGGTTCCAAGTTGAGAGCATGCATAACATGTTAAACTTTCTTACTGAGTCTTCTGATTTATTTGTAAATTTATTGGAATATTTTTAATAGCCAATCATACCTTCTGCAAGAAATGACAACTTTATTTCTTCCTTTCCTTTGATTTTCTTGTATTACTATATTGACTAGAGCCAGAGTAAATTATGAATTATATTATTATTATATTTTAAATACTTTTTAAATGAGGGACAGAAAGAGAGATTCTATAGGAAGAATCAGGTGATGACAATCCATCCCAGGCTTACTCCTTCTTCACACTTTCATCATTTCTTCCTTTTTCTCAGAAAATGAGGCCAACCAACTTAGATGACAGAATATCTCGTGGAAATTTTAGCTACTAGAATAGTTTAAATTTCCTAATGAATAGCACCAACTACAGCTCATATATGCTTTCAAATTAATCCATTTGCACTGTAAGTCTATTTATAATTTTAAAATTAAGATAATTTTAAAATTATTTTAAGAATGCAAACAGTGTTATCTAAAACGTGAATTATGCAAACCATGGCCCAATTAATATTTATATAACACTAAGGAGGGGGGAAATATCTCACTTTAATACTCCAAACACAGAAAAGGAGGGAATGAAGAAAAATAAGAGCTCAGGTCATGTGATAGGAAAGAAGAACCAAAATTCCTATATACTCAGAATTATGAAGATACAAAATAAAGCCTTTGACACCCTGTTTCACTAACTATCCATCATAAGCAAATGCCCCTCCGAAAGTGTTCCAAAAGATTTCCTATGCTCTCATAGGGGGAAAACAACTTCCCTTTGGTACTTGGATGTCTCACAGAGAGTACTATAAAGTCTGGTCATGAGTTTTCTTTATCTCTCTGACTTATATAATGACTCTAATTTATTTTATTATAACAACTTATCCCTCAGAAGAAGAAAACATAATGACAGGGTGACAACTAGTACTCTAGAGTTCCATTTAGATCACTGAAGAGTATGACACAGTCTTGACTTGTCAAAGGCAAGTCAGCAGTCTTAAAAGATTTATCTTCCCTTCCTTGTACAGATAAGAGATTCTAGTTTCAAAATCTTTTATCAGATTTCTCTAGGATTTACAGAGGGAGCCCTAGTGGCCTAGTGGTAAAAAGCTGTGCTGCCAATCTTATGGCATGTGGTTTGAATGCACCAGCTGCTCCATGAGAGAAAGACAGGCAATCTTTTCCTGTGTGATTTATTGCCTCAGAAAACCTGCTGGAGGGTCAACTGTCAGCTATGGGTCAGTTCTGAATCAATGGTAATTAACAACAGTGAGCAAGTCTCTTGAAGATGGTGGAACTCATGAAGATGGTACAGGGCAAAGCAAGACTCCAATCTGTTGTTCACCGGGTTGTTGTGGGTCAAAGACAGCATCTAACAACACAACCACCAAGTATCTTGCCTTGGTGTTTTAATTTTAGTGTCATGAACTAGATCTCCACTGGGCTTGCTGGTCAGTATATTTGTTGTTTATCTAAAATTAGACACTTAATATTAATGTATCTTTTAAAAATTGGGCCAAATATTTTTTTCAGATGGACTTCTATCTAAAGAGACACAAATATTATAATCAATTTGTTAAAGAGTTGGTGTTATTTACTGGTTACATTTAAACTCTCTAATGAAATTACTATTTGGCTGTATTTAAGCTTTTTAATTAACCAATAATTTATATGTTAAAAGTTATGGTGATTCTAAACAAAAGGGAGGGGGGATGAATATTTGTGACCCAAGTGGGGAATAAAAAAAAATAAAATCAGAATCAGAGGACTTAGGTATCATACTCCTTCTAGTATTTGTCTATGATGGACCTAAAATGCCAAAGTGATGTTGGCCAAAAACTGTTTGGAATAAACTGTTCTAAGTAACTGATAAAATCTGGAAGTTTTATATTTTCTGCCTATAGTTCCTTCTCTAATATGTAAAATCAATCAAAACATACTGATCATCTCTAAGCATCTTTATGATGAACTGAGAATTCAGACTTCTTGATATTGAAAATTCACTCAGCAAACTCACACAGAAATCAAGAAACTTACCCCCCGCAAAAAAAAAGAAACTTACCCAACCAAAAAGAATACATTGTACATCTGGACCAAGAAAATAAGAAGATGTTACATGTTGAAAAAGAAGATAAAGCAATGGCAAATTGGCCCTTACTCCAGCTTAAGTCTTTGTTTTTAGCAAAATATCTAAAATTTCCAAGTCAGATTCTGACTTCGGGCCATTTTATTTTACTCTAAGTTATTCCTAATTTTCATTTGAAATAAAAAATGTTGGAGCTTGAAAATATATGGATAAGGTAAAGAGAGAATTCCAAAAATTCTATTAAGTACAATAATGGAAAGCTTAATAGGAAACTGTTAATGTTAGCAAGTCTCATAGGAAGAAGTTGTTGGCTAACTTGGCTTTTAAAAAACAAAGTTTTTCCATTAAAAATACTGGCCCAACGAGCATGCAGGAGCCTGGCTCATGCCAGCCAGGGGCCGGGGTGCAGAGCAATGTCAGGTGATGAGAGTAAGGTTTTCACAATCAGAAACAAGCCCAAGGATAACAAATGGGTTTATTCATTAACTCAACCGGCCAATCTTAGAATTAAACTTGACCACTCAAATAGGCATCAGTTCAAACAGCTGTCTTCAAACTATTCAAAGATCATTTTATTCTGAAGAAGTCACTGAGAAAGACCTTGCTCCTGCCTCTAATCCAGCTGGAGGAAGGACATTGGACTCCTTTCAACCAGTATATGAAGAAATGTGAAGATGGCTTCTGGGAATGTTTGCTTTTTTATAGCAATGGTATTTCACCTAACATAAGCAGTATTCATTTCAAGGCATTCAAGACTTCATAGGCCATTTTTATGATTCAGAGCAGATGAAAGAAGAACTAATGCCACAGACCAAGTTCTGCACCAGAAGCATTGAGGACGTTCTAGGCTTTGAACACGTGATGTTCTATAATAAAGATGAGGAAAGAATGGTTTGCATATTTCAACAAGGTCCTTACCTACAAGGAGTACCTGGATTTCTACAAGGAGGTGCCATTTCTACCCTGATTGATGATACTCTTGGTATGAATGCAATGATCATTGGGGGAGTTGTCATAACTGCCAATCTCAATATCAATTTTAAAAGGCTGATCCCCATTAATTCTGTTGCTATGGTAAATAGCCAACTTTATAAAGTTGAAGGAAGGAATTTTTTTCCCCTTTAATGTTCAAAGCGTTGATGCGAAGACCCTACACGCCGAAGGAACAAGTTTGTTTATAAAACTGAATCCTGTTAAAAGTTTGACATAAAAAGAGCTGCTGCTGAAATCCACACCATTCTGCCTCAGATTTTCCTACTCCAAAAGAAGCTGCTGTCTCCACTCCTGTTCCTCTTGCCACTGCCAAGTTCACCATAGGAAGCCTGCTAATACCAACCTCCCCAGTCTTCTGAATACAGCTCTAGAAACTCAGTCTCCATCTTCTCAAGTTTTGACACAGAAGCTTTCCCTGTAACAGTAAACCTGCATCTCTGTACCTCCTTGGGAGAAGTGTCCAGTTCTCCAAAGATTTGGAGATCTCCCAAGATTAAGGTTCCACCACCAGCCCAACATCTGTTCATTGCCACTAGAGAAACAGCTCATGTTAACAAAACTGTTAACACAAACTAAACATGCTGGAACAAAGAAATAAATATGTGGGTACATATTAAAAAAAAAAGTACTGGCCCATTTATTCTTTCAAATGAAAATCTTTTGGGTGAACAACTGAAGTGCAACAACAATGAATGGTATCCTAGCACATTAACTAGAGCTGTATGGGCAAAAAATGTTTAGAAAAACAAACTACCAGAGCAATGCAGTAGTAATTCTGTGAAGTGAGCAAAATTAATTTTAAGCCTATCTTGCGCCAAGGATGGGCAAACCTCCCATGCGACTAATTGTCTCTGAAAACCCACCAGAAGGTCAACTATGGGTTGGTTCCAACTCTACTGCTACACAACAACATTTTGTCCCAAACTAAAGGAAGATAATTCAACAACAAATTCTTTAGTATTTCCTTATTAAGCAAACTAATTCAGCATTCATTATTTACAAGCATAGCTGGGGAGCTATGGTGGTCAAGGAGCTGAGTGGCCAACCTAAGGCATGCAGCAAATCCACCAGCTGCTCCCCAGGAGAAAGATGGGCAGTCTCCTCGTGAAGTCAGCTCTGAGTCAGTTCCGACTCCACAGTAAGTACACAGCACGCACAGCACAGCACGGAGTAGTGGGAAGATGCAAATGTGACGACCTTACCTTGAGAGCACAAAAGATGCACGACTCTCCCATACACTTGTGAGTTGTGAGCTGCCGAAAGCTACGCCGGAAGATGTCCAAGTGCCATAAAACCTGGCAACAAAGGGAAAATTCAGCATTACTCCTAATAAAGAAAATGAAGACATTTCAATTACATAGATAAGCTTGATAAGATTCTATGTTATGCATGAGAAGACTGGAACACTTTCATTTTTACAAAAATCACAAAATTATAGAAGGGCAAAATTAGGAGAATCTTGGTTTTCTAATTCCTAAATCCAACATCCTTTAAACCAAACATGCTATCTTTTCTTCTTTCATATCACCTATTTTCTTATCCCATGTGAATAGAAAAAAGAATATTTTACTCAAACATAGTTATTATCTTGGGGGATAAATTACACTTTATGCTGAAAAGCCAAAAGTAGGCAATGTAGCTACTTAAAGGTGAAGCAAAAGAAAATGTGCCAAAGGGAGCATGTGGGGTGGGCTGCAGGAGGGAGAAAGGAAGAATATGTACAACACTGAATAATTTTTTTAAAAGGAAATGAGCTTAACACTCTCTGAGTATGATTAGGCCCAGTAGACTGAGAGAATCCAGCTTGACGATTCTATGGCCACTGATGTGAAAAGTAACTGCAAAAGAGAAAATTCTGCATAATCGTTGTTTTTAGTTAGCTATCCATCAAGTCAACTTCTGACTCATGGAAACCCCATTGTACAATGGAATCTGACTGCTGTAAATCAGAGTTTTCATTGCTTGACTTTTCAGCAGCTAGAAGGCCTTTCTTCCTATTCTTTGTATGGAAGCTCTGCTGAAATTCTGTTCAGCCTCACAGAAACATGCGAGCCTCCTATAAGAGGCAAATAACAGATGAACTTGAGGCCTACTAGTCAATTAATCTCACAAAGAATGTGAAAATTCTATTCACTAATCATTTTAAGGGAATTAATTTTCCCAACTAGGTTTACTGCCACAAATCTGACCAGGTACTAATCATAAGCTTAGAAAGAAGAGATGAAGAACTGGACAATGGCTAAACTCCATTTAATCTGTGTGCTAAGACCCTGAATATTATAAGGAAAAGAATAACACCCAGTAATCTTTGACCTGAGGAAAGATTTTGTTTTCTATAACACAGAAAATTAACTAGGCTGATAAAGGCACCTTAGTTGCAGAAAGAAAAAAAGGATAAAGTAACAATTGTTCAGAATGAGTCAATAAATTGGGTAGAAAAATTATCTGTTCCAGGTTCTCCTCATCAGGCAGTTTGAATAGTAGCAGTTATAGCTATTTCCATCATTATTTCTATTGATCTTCTTTTTACAAAGGAGGTAATAGATATTCAAGAGATAAAATGACTTGCCTAAAATCACAACTAAAAAGTTAGCAGGTTGTTGACCTCAGGGATTGCCAATCATTATACGTAAAAGCATCATGAGGAACTCAGCATCAGTAACTAAAAGTCAGAGTTTGCCAAAAGGAAAAATATTAATGCTTACCTGTAGGGCACTATTGAGGAAGCAGCTATTTTGTCCTGGCTCATTGCTGAGACCTTTGCTGGGGGCTATGGAAGTCGAACTTCGAGGTGCAAACATCCCTTGGACACTACCACGGCTTCCTGAAAAATAATTTCTCTTCCAAGACATTACTATTCACATTTAGCCTGAAAACACAGAAAATGTTTTGTATCTTTTGGGCAGGAAGTTTGTTTCTGCTGAAGTTTTCAAAAGAAAGAGAATATATAGGATTTAATGAGTTTATGTTAAAAGATTTTGAGTATACTGCCTTCCAAATATCATCATCTATGTAGCTCAAGAGACTTAGGTATTCTCTTAGATCCACTCGTCAGAGTTGTCTTTCACTTACTCCAAAATGATGCCCAAAATGTGACAAAGTCTTAAAAATCTCTTCCTTACATATTATTTTTCTTGAACCATTTCCATAAAATCCTGGTAAAAACAGCTATAATTTTCAACTCCAGCAGCATCCAGGATCACAGTAAGATGTGTTCTTTAGGCTTGACTTTAATGTTTCTTGTGGACTGAAGATTTTCCCAAATAGAAGGAGAGGCAAACAGATAAACAGGAATCCAACAGAACCTTCCTTGTCCTCTACCGTCTTGTCCCATCATCCTCTCAAATGAAAAGGGTTAACTCAAATTCTGAGCAACTGACAAGATTTCACAAGGCCAAGAAGGCTGTTTGAATTATATGTTTTTTTGATGATGTTGTTACTGTTATTTTTTTAATGTATCCCAAAGTCCTATCATCCCATCCAGATCCTCAGAAAATCTCTTCTCTTTCCTTCTGTGACTAGAAGAGCCAGCTGTGCCAGGGAGCTTTAACAGAAAAAAGGAGAAAAAAAAAATCAAAAGCTTGCGTCACTTAATGACTCTACTAGCTTTTGTGCTGTTCTGCCAAGATCAACGCCGCCTCACCTCTCACTACAAATTTGAAACCCCGGCAAACAATAACACCAAAAAAAAAAAAAAAAGCAACAACTTAAAAACAAAAAAAAGAGAAACATTCAAACTAAGGAGGCAAAACCAAAACACACTATATTTTCATGGAAAACTGCTTAGAAAAATTTTGAAAGTAAAAATCAAATGGAAATTTTACAGAATTAGGTTAACAACAGCAACAAAATCACCAACTAAATACATACCAAACTGGGACTTGAAACAAGTTTTTGTTTGTTGTTTTATGTTATGACTAAAAACTTTCTAAAGTATATCCTATCTGTATATGATTATGAAAGCCTATTTAAAGATGGGAAGGCCAAATTGTCAGTCTGATTTATGTTCTGAGCAAAAATGCTTTATGCCAGAAAAACTCTGGTAAGCATATGTCATTAATACTCAGTCCAAGTGTAATGTCTACATCAGAAAAAAAATTAAGAATAGAAACATAAAAATTGGTTTCTAATAGGTCCTTAACCTTTTTCTTCATATGAAAGCTCCATCATACATATAACTTAAAAACTAAAAAATGCTCTAATGATATCTTAGTTACTCTCTGGAAAATAATCTCACATTATTTCTAGTGTGTCCCGTGGAAAATATGAGGCATAAGAATATTAAATGGTTGCACAAGATTATTCTAGCTTAAAATTTTCAGACTATTTATAATACGCATTTCACAAAGTATTTAATTATATTCTCTACTGTCATAGTATTATCTACTTGTTTTTATTACTCTTTATTTGCTTTATATGGTGTCAGTCAGCATCCCAAATATGACTTTTTAAAATGAAATATTAACTAGTGTCAAGTTTATGCTAAATACTATACTTAAATTATTTAATCTTTAAAACAAACTTATCAGATAGCTATTATTAACCCCTTTTTATAGATAAATACAGTGAGGCTCTAAAGATGTTAACTTGCTCAATTCAGAGCTGATATGTAGCAGAACTAGAACTGTATGACTATTATAGAGTAACTTAATGATGCATATTATAATATTCCAAACCCTCCTATCATAGTGCCAGTCATAAAGGAGGCCCTCCATAAATACTGTTTGATAATTAACATGGCACTAGGTTTCCCACACAGACTATGAGACCCTCCACTCTCTACACACACCCTCTAACACACCACACTTGAAGCCACCAAACAACTTCCAACAAGCCATGCAACATTTCTTCAGCTCAACTGCTGCAAAAGAATGACAAGTACCAAGCTTCCACTTTGGTCATAGCCAAGAGGATTCAACAGATAGGTGGGGTTTCCAGTATCTACATTAGGAGCCTATTGAAACTCAGTTTGTCCTATGACACATATACCTAAATATACGGAGCAAAAGAGAAAAAGGCAATATGAGAAAAAGGAGTCTCAGGCTCTGAATGACAGCATTATGAATGGTAAGGCAATAAGCTCTCATACTTGCTCTAGGTGTGTCAGAAACTGGAGATGAGAGCCAAAAAGAACAAAGCCTAAGAGGCTGCACCAGAAAAAAACAAATCCAAGATAGGCAGCAACAAATGGCCTAGTGAAACACTGATGACAAATTGAAAACAGCAGACTTAAACAGTAGGCCCAGATCAAACAATATAATCCTCCCCCAGTGCCATCTACTGAAGATATATGAGAAAATGAATTCTAGTTCTACTATGTAACTCTTAAAATCTGCTTTTGTTTTATTTTGCTTTATTTAAAAAAAAAAACCAAAAACAAACAAACAACAACAGAAACCTTCTCATGCAATACTTAATTATGTAGGGGTACACAAGCAAAATGTCTACAACTCACTTTCAAATGAGTCGCAGGGGGGAAAAAAGATATATGTGTAAAGAGAAAAAGAATGGTAATGCGAATGTCACAAAGTATAACCAACAAGTGAATCTACCTGAAAGATATATGGTAGTTGGTACTATTTTTGTAACTTTTCTGTGAGTCTTAGATTTTTTTTTTCAGTTGAAAGAAATTTTTTATCGATTAAAAAAAATATTTAAGTATCTAAAGATTACCTTTCATTCTATACAGTATTAGTGATTCAATTCAGAATCATGACCAAAATTATCACACTGGTAAATTCAGATTATATTGGCACTCTGGAACCAAAAGAAAAAAACAAAGCATATAGAGACAAAGATTTGTTGTTGTTGTTGTTATATGCCATCGAGTCACTTGTGACTCATAGCGACCCTATGTATAACAGCTCTAAATTCTGCTCCGTCCTGTGCCAATTGCACTGTCTCTGACACTCCCATCCCGATTAACCCAGTCACTGAATCAATACACCTCATAGAGGGCCTTCCCCTCCTGCACTGCCCCGCCACCCTCCCAACCATGATGTCCTTCTCACAGGGCCTGGTCTCTCCTCACAAAATGTCCAAAGTATGTTAGACG